CTTCTACCTCGAACCGTCCCGACCGTAGCTCAGTTGGAAGAGCATTGGGCTAGTATTCCAAAGGTCGTAGGTTCGAATCCCACCGTGGCCGGGCATATTTTTCAAGCTCGCCCGGTGTGGATATACACTCAGAGTAACACCACAAATATCATATTCACCTGAGTACACTACACCAACACAGAAAAAAAGTAGTAGTTATACAGTACAAATTACGTACCAAATGTCATCCTTTCTCGAGGAAATTCCCACTCTGGTATGAACGGTAGTTTGTGAATTTGTTCGTGAATATCTTTGTTACTGTCCAACTTCTCAATATAGTCCGGTAAGGGAGGGAAGGAGAAAAGGTAAAAGCCGCCATAAAGTTTCTTTCTTTTGTGCAGCACATGACTTGATGCGATTAACATGATCAAGCACATGAGTCCACTTCCAGCGGCGACAAATATCAAGGTACGCTTCTGGCCAGGTGTAGGGTCAACTATAATTGCAAATATCAGAATGAGTTCATATTAAATATTTTTATTTCGTATATGATAAAATAATAATGAAAACTTAACTTATAGATTATTGCAATCAGGCTGGATGTCCATACGAAATCCTCTAACACTATAAAAATTGATGTATACTAGCTCTTGCCACATTCTCAAATGAGAGCTGTATACGCTACGCGTTCAAAACCATGGATCTGCATGCGACACTCGATTAAAAAATTCTTCTATGACTTTTAAGGGTTTTTTTGCTATATAGACCGGAATAATTTACTCGTTCTCCAACTCCCAAAACAATGTTGGACGTATGTTACAGTTGCTTTAACTGTATTCTGGGAATGCAATCAACATTAAATTATGGGGGTATAAAGGGGGAGGTTTTTCCAAATTTGCGATAATATACGGAATTTTGTATAATATGATGTGTACAGATGTTTTGTCCAGAATTGTAGCTGCATGCATGTATAATCACAGCATGCGTAACAACACAAAAACATCTCCAAATAATAAATATAGTGTTTGTCAGTTGTGAAATTGAACTATTACTATATTTTTACAATTGCTAACTTGCTATAGTTTATTTTACCTGAAATTTTACAATGCCTGTATAGGTTTACGTTTCAGTATATAAATTTAAGCGATTCATATATACATTATATTTATTTATTTTTTCATGCACGGGCTTATTGTCAGCCAAACTGCGATTATAAAGTAATAAATTTTAACTAACTTATTACCGATTTCAAGTCACTTTTCAACGCGCGGTTCCCATGCAAGTTCTGCAAACTTGCCAATCGTTTCCAAGTTCAAAAATTAGGCGTGAACTTCGCAACAAAGTTCGCAAGTACATTTCAATATTTGAACTATTATGTAAACAAATGTTCGTAGTTCAAGTACTATTTAAAGCACGCGTAGGAGTGTTTTATCAGATATAAAATGTTTTATCAGATATATCTGATAAAACACGACTACACGCACTTTAAATGGCTTAAAAAACGACCCATCTTCTGATGAGTATACATTAGCGAAGTAATTTTTAAAATAAACTTTGTCTAAACCGAGAAAATCAAAGCTAAAGTTTATGTAAATTAACACGATTTTTTATCACATATAAAGATACGACACGCTTATGATTTTTCTTTGTGTTTTCCTTCTGAATTATTAATGATTTTTTAAGTTGAAATTAACAATTCAATCGAAAATTCTTGGTCCAGTGGTCTACCAAGAAGGTTTGTATTTCATTGAATTGGTTATTATTATTATTGAGTATGAACATTTGTTTACAAACGAAGTTCAAACATATTGAAATGAACTTGTGAACTTTGTTGCGAAGTTCGCGCCCAATTTCCGAACTTGGAAACGTAATTGGCATGCAAGTTCGCAACGAACTTGGGAACCGCCTGTTGAAAAGTGACTTGAAATCGACAATAACTAAGGTTTGAATTCTTTATATATATACATATATATATATATATATATATATATATATATATATATATATATATATATATATATATATATATATATATATATATATATATATTTAATCTTAAAAATGGTACATGTTGCTACTCAGAGTTTCATGCAATTTCGAAGGTTTCGAAGACGATCTTACCCACATGATTAATAAAGTTGCATTTCGCAAAGTTAGTGATCCTTTCCTGAACACGGTTACGGAAGGTATTAAAAAAGTAAATACATCGGAAAATGTGTTTGTATTCGCCGATAAAACACAAAACATCTACGAGGTTCCACCAAGCACGTATACGAAGCTATTAACTGAAAACATTACAAAAACCTATAAGACAGGAAATGAAAATATCACTGATGAGATTAATAAAGAGCTGAAAGAGATAACGAACAACCTTGGGGTTGGTAATCGTATTGATATAATGGCGAAAAAAGAAGCGTTTGTCACTCTGAAAGATCACAAAGAGAACTTCGATTCACACCCAAAGTGTCGTTTGATCAATCCGGCAAAAAGCGAGCTTGGAAAGGTGAGCAAAGTTATTCTTGATGCAATAAACAATAATATTAGATCTATTATCAAAGTCAATCAGTGGAAAAATTCACAGTCAGTTATCGAGTGGTTCAAGAATATACCTGACAAGCCACACCGCACGTTTGTTTCGTTCGACGTTGTAGAGTTTTACCCTTCCATTACCGAAGATCTCCTCGATAAGGCAATTTTGTGGGCTAAATCGTTCGTGGACATACCTGACGAACACGTTTCTATTATAAAGCATGCACGAAAGTCTTTATTATTTAATGCAAATAAACCATGGGTGAAAAGAAACCACAACTCTATGTTTGACGTCGCTATGGGAAGCTTTGACGGAGCTGAAGTGTGTGAACTGATTGGTTTATTTGCATTAAATACACTCGCTCAGAAATTTGGTAAAGAAAACATCGGATTGTACCGTGATGATGGTTTGGCATTAATTCAAAGCACCAGCGGTAGATTAGCAGACAAAGCAAAGAAAGACCTTTGTGCCCAATTCCTTCAATTCGGTTTGAGAATCACAGCCGAAGTAAATCACCAACTGGTAAACTTCCTGGATGTAACCTTTAACCTTAAAGATGGGAGTTACTCGCCATACATGAAACCGGACAATAATCCGATATATATAGACAAACGCTCAAATCACCCACCCTCCATTACTAAACATCTACCGGCATCAATTAACCGAAGAATTTCGTCTCTGTCATCTAGTAAACAAGCCTTTGACTCCGTGGCCAACGTGTATGAAGAAGCTCTGCATAAGAGTAATTACAACGGCAACCTTGAATATTCCCCTGATTACCCTCCATCAACTACAACCCAAAAGCGGAAACGTCAAAGAAACATCATCTGGTTTAACCCTCCTTTTAGCAAAAATGTACGTTCAAACATTGCCCGGGACTTTCTACGACTAATTGACAAGCACTTTCCGAGGGCAAATCCCTTTCACAAGATTTTCAACCGTAACTCCATTAAGGTCAGTTACAGCTGCATGGAAAATGTTAAAAGTTCCATTTCCAGACACAACAAGCGCATCTTGGCGAAAGCTGAGCCAATGGAAAACCCAAGCAAATTGTGTGATTGCCGAATCCCTAGTGAATGCCCACTCCAGAAAAAGTGTTTAACGAAAGGTATAGTCTACAAGGCAGTGATAAGAACAAAGGAAGATTGTGACACGAAGGAATACATCGGTATGACGGCGAATGAGTTCAAAGTTAGATATCGAAACCATATAAAATCGTTTAAGCACAAAAGATATGAATATGACACGGAACTTTCTAAATATGTGTGGAAATTAAAGAACGCTGGGAAAGATTACGAAATCAAGTGGTCAATCGTAAAACGAGCTTCATCGTATTCAGCAGGTGGAAAACACTGCAGTTTGTGCACCGAAGAAAAACTGTGCCTTTTAAAGGCAAATAGAACCCTTAATAGAAGATCGGAAATATTCGCGAAGTGCCGCCATGCAGAGAAATTCCACGCGGGAAAATTTGAGAGCGTGCGCGACCAACGAACGCATGCGTCAGCAAACCGTTAGTGAGTAGCGTCAACAAACAAAACTGAACTTACTTGTAATAACAGTTGCCTGAAGATTGCGAAATTGCATGAAACTCTGAGTAGCAACATGTACCATTTTTAAGATTAAATAAATATTGCTCTACAAATTTTTGTATTGAGCACTCTTTAATCTACTGCAATAACAAAACTTTGTTATATATATATATATATATATATA